GGATAATGAACGCGAACAAAGGTGCGAGTGCTCGCGTAACTCACTTTCTAACACCGGTACCTGGACATGTGCGAGCATCTAATGTTCACGCGTATCCAAACTCTCCTTCTCTTTCTTTCTCTAGGACGGATTGTTTGTTCAACACAATTAACTCGTTAATTCTACTGCGTTTTTTCCAATTTTAAATTTCCTTCTCTGTGTCACATACGCCTGTGACAGAAATTTATATTTAAACTTATATAAAAAATAAATTAAATATAAATAAAATTCAAATAAATACCTTTGAAAATAAAAATGTTTTTTATAAAAAAAAAACTTATCTTAAAAATAAAAAGTTTTAGCAAAAGAAATCAGTTGTTTAAAAACGCAATTACAACTTTAACGTTCATAATTAAACTCTAACATTTTTTATAAAAATGACGTAACCACGGCAAATGTATCAATGTCGATTGGGTGAGCAGAGTTTCTTGCTCTTCTTTTTTTTTTTTTTTTTTTTTTGCCGAGAGATTACTTCCGGTTACAGTTCTTGATTATACACATGGTATGCACGCGTGCGCAGTTAGTTGCGAGTTAATTATAAATGTTACACCTCACTGCATACACTGATTGCGCTAACCATACATAATTGTGCCTAATAACATTGACGTCAATGAGTACACCATTGTTCCAATGTGTTCTATGTACGTTTTTAAGAGAAATCGGCAATTCAATCCATTATCAAGATCAATCGATCGAAATAAAATGTGCCATTGTTAATCTATAAATTATGGATCTGCTTACGCTTGCAAAATATTTCGATTTCTAAAAATCTTTAATATCAAAATTTAACGACGTAAGGCAAAGTGTTTATAATTAGAAGTCTATTTATCCTAAAACCGGAGGCGATTTGCAAGTAACTGTTTCCATAACAAGCGTAATTTTCAGGCAACTCACCGTAATGAAAAGACTTTCACGCTTCTTAGAATAACGGAAAGGAAGCTGACGTAAATTATTAGCTATGCAGCATCGCGTGGAGACGCGTTTTGGTACAGTAGAGTATATAATCTTAAATATTCGCAAGAAAACACTTTTCTTATCGATCGCACACGGCTCGCGTTGGCTTAGCACAACAAACGTGCACGAGACACGTTTGTACGGATATTTCGCGCACGTGTCTCGCGCGGAAAATGCCGCTTGAGTCCTCTTCTGTGCAAGTGGAAGAGACAGCTCATGCTACGGTTGTAACATGTAAAACGTGCAATGAATTTGAAGGGATTCGCAAGTTCGCGAGAAGCATTCTGACAAGTTATTCTCTCATTATTTGCATAATCGGATGATTCCATTGACGCTTCAAATAATTCAACTTGCTTGTTCTTCCGAAAGCTTTATTTACGGAGTTCTCATCGACAAAATTTATTATTTGGCATGACACTTGCGAAAAACGGGTCCTTCGCATGCAGCTCACGGTAATTACAATGTAATTTTAATATATACTGGGTTCGTCGTTTTGTGGACAGATCGGTTTGCGAATAATCATACTGCGTAAATTCCTGTTGTAAAATTCCCGTGGGTCGTCCCGACCTATTCTTTGATCACGAGTTCTTGATTCTGCCGTACCGGACACATTGGTAATCTCGTTCCTGCGATTATTGTTAGTTTGCTTTACTTTTTTAAAAATAGCAGTTTAAAATATTAGTCTTAATACTTAAGCTTTGTATAAAAAATTTTTGTTAAATTCTACCTAGAAAACATAAAATATAATTTATACAAGCTTTCGAATCGTAAACACATGTTTTAGTTGCAAACAAGTGATTAAAGGACGTAATAAAAGCTACAGGTATACTTCAAGTTTAAAACGTCTCGTCTAATTTTACAGCAACATTATGACTTTGAAGTTAATTATCTATAAATTACTTATAATTTTAGCTATAGTTTAGGTATATTAATACGAAATGTGGCTTAAGAAAGGAAGAAAGGAGAGGGCAAGTCAATAAAAATATTCGCGTGTAGAAGCATAGTTTCACGAGGAAATTCGCATCGATACGTCGCATTGCGTGCGTGTGGCATATCATAAGGATAACTTTTACTTTCTAAAGCAATAAATAAGACGCTACGCGTGAATTTACTCACGCGCATGCATACGTACGCATCCATATCCCAGGGTAAAAACCACATTAGGAGACGCCCACGAAATGCACGGGTGACCGAACCTTAATGATATATGCAATGTGCACGTGTGCCTATTCGTACGTTCATTTTCTATCGATTAATACGAAGTCTTACCCATGCTTTTATATCACTGATTACTATGCGCGCGCGCCTTCGCTAATTTTATTATCCCTCGGTATAAAATAATTCTTGCATCGTGACTCATACCCATTTCGCGGACATCGTGCAAACAAGAAATTTTATACAAGGTCGAGAGATCAGTAAGGAATTAACGGTTATTGCCTAAACGGGGATTTACGTTGAAATTCTTGCTCAATAATTTTACGTGATCTATCGCGGTTTACTTTGAATAAGATTTCACGAATACACATCAGAAGCTATCTGTACAGACGCAAATTCAGTCTCCTTTGAGATAGAGCCGCGTGTCATCGGCAATTGTTTATCAAAATTATCAGCACGTCACGACTCGTAGAATCGTTGCTGGAGTCGTTGCTGGAGTCAATAGACGGTATCGAAAGAAACCGCGACACGACTAATTCCTCGTTCACTCGCGATCGAAATTTTTCGAAGTTTGTCGGCACGCCATGGTCGTTCGTACCAGTATACAGAGTGACTCTACCGTGTTATATTCCATTCCGAATTTACGAATTTAGATTCTTTTTTACAAATTCTTTCTTAACAAAAAAACATTGAGAAATTAATTATCATAGATCGAAAAATCTGTCGCGAGTTAATTTTTTAAATTAAATTTTTAAATTAAAATGTTTTTTAGTTACTTTCCATTTCTATAGAATGTTTACTTAAATTTTTCATAAAATTATTCAACGACGAAAGATCGGTGAAAAATTAAGAGCAGCGATGTAGTCACGCCATGCGTAGTCACGCGTGAAAAATATTAATTTCGTAATTAGTAAAAAAGTTAATAAATAAAGATTTTTTTGTTCCATAAAGTATTCAGAAAGTATTCAGATTAGTATACACCCTGTATATACTAATGTAAGTCGATCGATCGCTTCATGGTATGATGTCCCGAATCCATATTCCGTGCCAGGATGCGCCTGCCTGCCCGACAAATCACCGAAGTTATTCCGCAGCAAAGTGCAATTTAAGCTTTCATTAGAGAGAATCTGCGGTGGACACAGGAGGCGAGATTATAAAGAAGTAACCGCAGTAAAGCTCGGAAAGAGAAATTTGCTCGAATTCCTATCTATGTTGCGCATAGAGAAAGTGCACTTCTCTTCCCGCTTTCATACAGCTGGATTGCTTTGTCTGATATTGTCATCGCGGCATTATTAATCTTCACTAGATGCCAGATTGTATCTCTTTAAATTGGTAAACTGAAAAGGCACTAAATAGAAGACAAAAAGTCAGAAGTAATTATCTTGAGATGTTTATATGATTCTAATCAGAAATAAGTCTCTATAAAAACCACAAAATCAAAATTTTATATTCAGCATTTGTATGTCTAAAAATGAAACTTGTTTGTGTGATAAGCAAGTAGGTTTCCCGTACAAAGATTTCGAGCTAGGCGAACAGAAACACATTACCGAGGAGATAAGAACGAGATGAATAACGAGACTCTCAGCGCGAAATAGAAATTGTCGATATCGCCAACGACGGTTGATTTCATATTTTACAGCAAAAGTAATGTTTCAATGCGCGTGTTACCTCACGCAACTTTCTCAAACGAAGTGATCGATAGATACAAGTATGTGCTCGTGTACATGAAGCGAATGAGTCACGCCGGGAGACGTAACCGCCACTCGCATATAGCACAGCCTGTAATCAAATAGGATCTCCGTACGATCCAGTGAGCAGGACGCAAAGCCGTGAAAGTGCAATCCTACACCCCGCGGTACTTCTAGAAATTCGTTGCAATTCAAATCCGCGGATTTAGAAAAATATCGCTTTGATAAAAAAATCCAATATATCTAGACAGGCTAGTGCAATAAAAACTAAAAAATAAAATTAGAATAAAAAATTTCTTGACAAACATTCTCATGCGTATTGTTTTGAAATATAAACATATTTATATAAAAGATTACACGAATCCATAATGTACCTATACTTTTAAGAAAAAAAAAAAAAAGTAAGAATCTCATGTGATAAAATTAAAAAAAATTAATAAAATTCAGATCACAAAAATCATATCTTATTTAAAGCAAATTTTGCAAGTGTGGATTAAAAGCTTAATTCATTCTTGTATCAAATTCTTCGTATCTAAAAGGCACTTCATTTTAGATATGCTAGAAAATGTTCTAAAGTATGATCGCGTATGATTCCGCAGCAAGACACCTCGAAAGTTCATTCGGGTGTGTCATTTACGCGGACCGATAAGGGTCAAGCTGATCAACCAGTCGAGACCATTTCCGGCAGGTATCGTACTGAGTGTCGCCGACGTTGATCGAATGTAAACCGACCGCAATGGCGATACCGTTACCGATTTTTAGCGCGGTTAGCACGCGAGTGGGTTTGCGGATTCGAACCGCACAATACAAGCCGCAATGCTGCTTTCATTCGCACTTGTGTGAATTCGAATATCTGTGCCTTCAGTCACGAGACACCGAGATTTGACTTGAAGTCTAAGTGATGATAAAAGAGAATTAATACGAAGATGTAGGCAATGAAAGTCAGAGCTGATAAGAATTTAGGCGACGAAAAACACAAGTACAGTTTATAAAATATGCGATCACAATTTGGAATTAATTCCTGTTTTTGCACAAAATTTCAAGAATAAAAAAATATTCCTTTTAATCTCCTTCATTTTTCTGTGTCAATTAGAAACTGGGATTTTTATTTAAAAAATACTATTTCTTTCGGATCACGAAATTAAAAAGGGAAATCACTAATACCCTAATTGAGCGGAAAATGCCAGTTCCATCGGAGCTACCGCGACGATGGTGCCACGCTGTAATATGTCCGTGAAATCCACGTCCGACACTTCCTCAGTGTTCATAGAATTCGAGACAGTTTCAGTCATCTCGCTTCCGAATGATGTGGAAGTCGTCGATGTCATTGTCGTGCTTTGCAGATTCTCACCTGCAACGTGCACATTGTTGGAGAAAACGGACGGAAGTAAAATGCTGCGACTGACGTACACGTTTCCCACCGTATGTTTAAAGACTGTTGGAGTCTAAGTTAAAAACAACTTGATTCTAAGTTTTATCGATTTGGCATGTAACTGAATAGAACAGAATAGCAACAAGCTTTAAAATATTGCAATTGTCGAATTAGTCAATAGCGATATAAATCGTTCATTTTTCAATTGCAGATAAAAAATAATTTTATATCATAAATAAAGTATCTGAAGAAAAAAAATCTTCATCACGCTTGTAATTTCTGAATTCCAATTACTCGGATTTATCATAATGTGTTAAATATACTACGTGTTTTTTTTTTTAAAGTACCTGATAAATTAAATAAAAAAGTAAGAACTATAAAAAAACTAAGTCTTTTACGATTCTCGAAATATCGTCGGTATATCAGACAATGTTATATCAGAACATATTTACAGTGACTTTAAATCTCCGTTTCCGAAAATATCACGAGTGCAAATATTTTATGTGCGTCGTTCTATATCTATCTCGTAAATAAGCCGGCAGCGCGATGTTGAATTCCATAAGGTCTTACTCGTCTCCGTTCTCTCAACATCGCGATCGGAGGTACTCGTGGAGAAGACGATAGTGTTTGTAGCAGAGGTCGAGGGTTCATCGGGGTCGACTTCGGAGAAATAACTGGCGAGGTCTTGGTAGGATTCGCGCGTCCTTGCAGCATCCGCGAGATGATGCTCGGACCGATAAGCCGAGGTACTGGTCTTTGCCGTATCTTGCTCGTTCAGTGTGGACACTGACGAGAGAATGTATAAAAAAATATATTTTACTACTTTTATATATAGATTCTTTCAAAAACTTTAAAAGAATGTATATATATTTTTTGCTACCGTTAAACGCGATATTCACCATTGTCAAGATTTGCAAGTTCGTCGATTTTCTCAAGAATGTGCGGATGAATTTCGCGGTGGTTCACGTTTTCCACTTCGGAATTGGCTTCCCTCTCACTCTTCGATTTCATAAAACGCTTCAAAGGATTATGAAAGGTGGGCAACTTTGATCTAATCTGTGCATTGTGTTCGTTAGACGATGTTTCCTTCTGAACATAAACCATACATTTTGCCTCTCTATCCCTCCCACATATCGCAAAATTGATTTAATTGATTAAATTATTTAATTAATATTTTATTAGCCGGTTTATATAATTATTCGTATCATACAAGATATTTTTATTTTGTCTAAAGTCAATATTTTTGTAATTAATGCGATTGTAATAATAATAATAATCACATAATAATCAATATGTAACAAATAGAAGGTAAGCTTTTACATCTACGGGAATTTTGGAATGAAGGATAACATCATTCCTTTTTCACGTAGTCGAATAGGTTATACATAAAATATATGACAAAAATAGGAAAAGTTCGTGTCAATTATGCAATAGAATATTGAATTAAAAATTTATAACGCACAACACGTACAGAATATTCCTCGTGTCCTCTCTCCCGTAAATTCTTCAAATATAGTTAAACTCTCTCTATAAAACTTTCAGCGAGAGTTACCTTATTTACACTGTTCTAAAGTTAGATATTATACATAGAATTTATATCAGAATATTAAAGATAAAAAATAAAGCTATCTCCTGGACTGATATTGCAGTCCAACGCTTCAAGTACATCATCGATCAAAATTTTCGACAGATACTTTCAAATGTCGCAGCGCAACTCAATATAAAATATAGAATATTTAGATTTCTCTTAAGAAGTATCTAAATTTCTTCATTTTTATTCATCATCTCCTCATTAAGAATTCAAATATTATATTCTCACCTTTTGTTTTATTGTGGAGAATAAAGATTGCTTATCAGAATTCCTACGATCTAAATAATTAATAGATGTATGATCTACGGGAGTTTGTTTCGGGATATCTGAATTTTGTGATTTTGAAACTTCTCTGTTAGTAATATTACTCATATCTGCATCATATCGTCAATAAAGAAGTGAATCAACGATACATGCCTACTTATCAATTTGAACGTCGTACGTTTCGATATCGACTATTACGCCTGGCCGACCGGCTTTTGTTCATTATCAATTATATCGCAATGTATTTGCATTTTAAATGCGTATGTTCAATATACAATTACAATGGCAGGATTGAAAATGATGGGAAATGGAATAAATATCTTCTCAGAGTGCACAATTTATACAATTTGCTATAGCAAATTAAGGTTGAATGATAATAGCATTTTGTGCTAAAACCAATATTTTACATTTTTTTTAATATAATATTATGATAAACACTTGATATCACAAAATAGAATACTTTTGTATATGCGTATCTTCTAATTTCCACGAAAAATTATAATGCAAATAAATTGAAAATATAATACAATAATCTTCAAATAATAAAAATAAATATTTTAAAACTCACGTTTATAGCTACTGCACGTGCGATAGCCATGCAGTTATAATAAAACAATGAAAACTTTACGTTTATATAGATTTCGTGTTCTTTCCTTAATACAATATATTTCTGAAATATTATAGGTTCTTCCTAGCACATTCCATATAATAATCGATGCTAAATCTCTGACACAATTCATTTTCGAATTTCGAGCAAAGAAATGTAAGATCTTTCAACACAGTGAGAACCAAAGAGACGGAAAACAAAAAAAATGTCGCGATACAAAGAAATTTAAGGGAAGGTGAAATATGAGAAAGAAAAATAAGGCTCTTACCTGATAGGCGTAAGGTGTGCAGGGTACGTAAAATTCTCTGCTCATAATAGACGGATCGCCTACGGGCGGCGGTGAAGTCCAGCTGACGGGTCGTCCTTCGGCAAGTGTCAAAACGCCGGTGGCGCCATCTTGGTCTCGCCCAGATCGGAGCGAGTCGTCGAACTGTCACGAGCAGGCAGGATCACCGAATCCTAGTCGCGGCCGCGCAGCAGGCCATTCCTCGCCTGTTTTTCGGGGTTCATACACGTCGCGACCGGATAATAATCGCGTATCACGGGTCACGTCACGTCACGTCGCGTCGCGTCGCGTACGTCACGTCGCGTCGCGTCGCGTTGCGTTGCGACGTTCAGGTCATTCGCGTCAGCGTCATTAGCGGACGTGCGATGATAACAACGGCGACGACGACGGAGAAAATAGATACATCGATCATCGGGATCCTTTGTCTCGATTCACCAAAAAGCACACTCGGAGTACACACTGCATAAATTTCCACCTAACAATGTCGCCGGGTTCGTCGTCCCGACTCGATCATGGCGCACTTCTCCGTCGATTGTCCCTAGAATGGGAGAACCGACACCGCTGTGAACGATGGCGTTCTTAGCGGCGAATTTCGCTGTTTATGAAACGCGAGAGAGAGAACGACAACACTCACGCTCGGCCACTACGCCATTTTCGTTGCGCGCACGACGCTCGCGGTTACATCCCTTTAACGCGCGTGCTCGCGACAAACCACTTTACACGTTCGCTGACTAGTGCCGACTGATGGCCGAACCCGACTGGCTGCGGATCACGAGAACCGACCGAACCCGAAGTCTGCCGAAGCGCGGCGGGCGCGGCGGGCGCGATCAACTTCACGTCGATCGCGCGACTTTCGCTCTATTGATAAACTAGATATTCCGTGTAAACAAAGAGAAAAAATAATATTTCTTTTCTCCTAGCTTTTCTTTCTCTAAACGGCTATTTTCCAAATCGTCATCTTAAATCGTCATCTTCTTACAAATAAAAAAGACAAAATATAAATTATAATTCCCTATTTTTATTTTTCGAGCTTACATTTAATGCTTTATTTATAATAATAGTTTAAAGTTCATATCATAATGAAAATTAATATCAATGAATCTTTAATTATTTTTCTGATTGGTTTACATTTAAATAAATTTAATTATGTTTTCTGTTTCTATGATAAAATTTATTAAATAAATAATAATGAATCATATTAATATCTTTTATTACTAATTATGAGTCAAATATAAATCAAATGAAAATTTTTGTGAATCTTTTTCTCTTCTGAAATAACTCTTCTGAAACCTTGCAATTCTATTCTTTGAAAGAAAAATACTTTGAAAAATACTTTGAAAAATATACGAAGAATAAATAGTAATACTTTCATGTTTAATACTGATGTTAATTTTAATACTGATGTTAATTTCATTTCATAAATTTTCAATTTCACGCGAAGAATTTCTTTCATTTTATATATATATATATTGGCGAATAAATTAATAATTTTTTATTAAATAGTCGTTCTTAAACCGATTTCAAAGTCTCTATTTTTTTCTATCTAACAAGTATGTTAATATCGTAAGACTTAAAAAAGATAATAATCAGATAACGCAAGATCCGACGAACAAAATAACGGAGCAAAGTATTAAAATGCAAATCAGATTTTTTTGCAATGATTTTTACGAGATTTTTATGAGATTATATATCGTAATATTTGTTTAAGATGAATAATGTATATCACTTCTGTTTTGCAAATGTTCGATATAAATATTTCTGTTGGAAACAAAACGAGCAAAATTGCTTCAAAAAATATCTATGTTAAAACGTTATGGAACTTTCGTAGCATAAACAAAAGGAAAAAATTTTTTCCTAGCACAAACGTTTTTTTAAACGTTTTTAATTAATTTTAAGTCGTTTAAGTCTCCTTACAAGTAAAAAGAACACAAAATATAAATACTTGCAATTCCCTATTTGTATCTTTCGAGCTTATATTTAATACTTTATAATAATAATTTATATAAAAGAAATTAATATTTTAGAAACAATTTGAATTTAATCGGCAAATAAATGTTTATTTCTACATGGAGGTAGCGAGCCAGTGAGAACCTTTGACGGGGTTTTCCGCGTGGCAGGGACGCGTGCCGCAGCATATCTCAACACACGGTTTATCGACCACACGCGCACGTGGCGGCCGCGTGGATGAGGGATGCTTTCTCTTTCTCTCGGATTCAATGACGATGTTGCGCGGCACCAGGATTTCGTTCCATGGGATCTCGACGTCGTCGGGCGCGCAGATCTGTTCTTCCCTTGGACGTATCACTACTGGTTTCTCCAGAGTTAGGTCAGCCCAGGGTATTTCCAACGAGGAATCGCAGATCCCTGGATCATCCTGCACGCTCGGCAAAATCTTCGTGATGATTAAATCCTGCCATGGTAGCGTCATGGCACCGTTGGACTCTCGCTTCTCGTCGCCGATGATCTTTGCCTCAGCCTCCTCCATGTCCGTCTCAGCCGTTGAAGTTTCGTCGCGACGAATCTTCACACCTGTCGTTGGCAGGGCGATGTCCCTCCAGGGTAACTCAATTTTGGAGTCACACACGGATTCGTCCAAGAATTCGTGGTGGAGCATCTGCATGTAGGGTTCGTGCCAGATTTCTTCATCCGGGTTGTACACGAAGACCTGCCGTTTCTTTCTGCAACGTTCCTTCGTTTTTTTCTTCCGATACGTATACAGTTTAATGTGACACAAGCATAATTGTTGGATTTTGAGCTGGCGTTGTGTCATGTTCGATATGGTCGCGACGAGCTCTCGACGTGGATGTCGACGTCGGCTTGTAGTATATGATTTATTTTTCTTTACTTTTCCAACCCCATATTGCGAGAGTGAAGTAAGCGATCGACGTGAACGTGGATACAAACAGCTTTGATAAACCTGTTTATTAGCTCAGGGCTTATACAATGAAGGTGAATCATCTGATAATTTTCATAAAATTGCAATTATTTAATTTTTTTACATAATGTCATAATAGTAAATTCTGTTAATTATTTACATATATTCGAAATATTATATTAGACTTATTTTTTATTATTGCATTGAACTGCATTAAAATTTTCTTTCTCGCTTTCATCAAACTTCGAAAATATATTTTCCATACAGTATAAACTTTATAGCTATATTGTGGCAATATTGCTGCAAGATCTGTCCTGAGATATATTAGAGTATAGATTATTTCATTTTAAATATAAGTGTATATTAATTCAGCTATAAGAAACTAACTTATATTAATATAAAATTGTACCATTTTTGCAATATTGTTCAAAGATTTTCGAAATTTATATATGCTTTTATAACAATAATAAGCAGTCTCATTATATGACGTTCATATTATATGACGTTATTAATCGCTCTTAGAATGATTAATAAAATTCACTGCAGCTGAAATCGCTATGAAAGAACGAGAGTGCAAATAATGACGCATGTTGCATCATATGATCGCGCATGTTTATCAAATTCGATAACGCGAAGATCAGTTAGATCACTGTTTGAAGAGACGAATTAAATGTTCTCACTAATGTTTTTACAGATTGTTGTCTTCTCGCGAAACATCTCGGTTTTTCATTAAAAAGTGTGACATCTTCAACATCTACGTTTCAAAGTGAGCGTGAGTAATCCATTTGAAGCATTCGCTACAATGACAAGCAGTAAATGAACAAGGTCATTCCTCCGCCTAGTTCCGACGCAACGAGAAATTTCTCGAATGATCGAAGGCTGCTCAAAAATATACAAACGGCGGGGAAGAAAGAGAAGAGAAAGGACAATCTATTATTCGCTTTTTTTTTATTCCTTTCTTCCTATGAATCTCCAAGAGATTCCATTTCTCACTTTTGATACACCATATACAAGATTCACGAAGTGTCACACGTGTGCGAAGTGCGAAGTCGGAACACGTCGTGTCGCGCCATCTGTCAGCGGGCGCGCGCGCGTTTCGAGAAATCCGCCGATAAAAGGAAAGCCGTGGTGGCCGCGATAGCGAGAGATTGAAAGGAAAGCATTGCCGCGTCGTGAGACGTTCCGACGACGGTGAAAAGTACCGCGATAAAAATACGAGCGGCGCGTATTTGCCGTCCGCGAGATACCCGCCGTCGCCGGTTTCCGGAACGTGACGCATCGCGCGTGTTCGCCGTGTTACACGAAACTTGCGAGAGCAACACGCTTGACCAGCGCAGTCAGGCTACGTTTAGAAGGCAGCCATCTTGCAATCCCTAATCAAAGATCCACGGCAAGCGGATATCGCTGTCTGGTTTGCGGCCAGTTAATATCAACACACAGTTCGTCAAATGGCTTTAAAGCGAATTAATAAGGTACGTGGAGGCCGGTCGGCGTTCGTGCCGCGTAACGACGCGGCCGGGCGTTGTCGTGTGCGCCTGGCCCGGTCGTACGCCCCCTTAACGATCTCTCTTACTCTTCACCGAGCTGGTGCGCTCAACAGTGTGACCGAGCGCTCTGAAGAAATTTCCGTGTTGGGTGATTCTCGTCGCCGTCGCCGTTGCCGTCGCCGGAGCTGGAGCCGGAGCCAACCGCGATGACCGCACTCCGGCACGCGGAGATGGCGGCCGCGCGCACTTACAATCCGCACGTCCCTCGACGCCCTGCGCCAGCCGGGCACGGCCATCGGTGACAGTGAAAACCCGGACGGATTTTGTGTGCTTTCTTGTTCCGATAGATCTCCGGAAGTAATGCGAGATTGCGTGCGATCTACGACGCGTTGCGCCGCGGGCATACGCGCGTGCATACACACCGTTTCTTTAATGACCTCGCAACTCCTTCCTCGACGCTTCTCGCTGGTCTTTTGTGCCTTTACACCGTATATCGTGGTGCTCGCGATCATTTCATTTCCCTGTGGTCTCTTGTGAAAGCCTTACAATGTATGCAGTAAAGTAAAGTGAGTTATTCGACATGGTGCATTTCATGATATGAGTGCTTATAATGTTTGATTTGTTATTTGTATGTCAATTGTACAGAATGGACTATGACATGGAGGAAGTGAAGATCTCGGTTTTAGATGACAAGGCCGAAAAGTCCAGCGAAAAGCTTTAACGTTTATAGCATCTTGATTATATATAGTGTTTCGATGATATTAATAACTGATGTAATTGTAGAGTTATATGATATATATGAACAAAGCAATTTGTTTTCTTTCTATAATTAATATCTATAATTAGTATTGTTTTTGTCTTTGTTATAATGATATAGGTAAGATTATAGATAACAAATAATTTTGTCTTATATATTTTTATTGTTATTTTTATATAGCACATCTTCAGTTTCTATATACATGTATATATAGAAGATTCTAGAAAATACATATGAAGAAAATATTGCGTGCTACATGTACATAATCATAAATACTAAAGTTCTGTATAGAATAATTTTACAATATATAAATTAGAATTTATAGAAAAAAACATAGTAAATTAAATTATATTTATTTTAAATATAAATCTCTGTGTAACTATGTGTAACTACAATTTACATTTATAATTAGATACTACTATCGTGTCATTATCTATAAGTCAAGATAACAGTTATAAGATAGAACTTTTAAAAATTTTATATGCATTTTTAAAAATTTTTGTAATATTTATCTGTGTTTCTAATTTCAGGAACTTCAGGACCTTGGTAGAGATCCGCCAGCACAATGCTCGGCTGGGCCTGTAGGAGATGACTGTAAGTATTAGAATTGCTATTAATTAATATTTAAAATATAATATATGAAATAAATAATATATTACCAAATCATAGATTTTAGTTTTGAAACATGTTTTGTGTTTTTTTTTTTTAATGGAATTATTAGAAATGTTGAAATTCATTATGAATGTATCAACGTAATCATGAAAATAGATATAAATTATAATTTAATGATAATTTTCATGTAATAGTTTCACTTAATATTTTTCCAGTATTCCACTGGCAGGCAACAATCATGGGACCAGTAAGTCATAATTTTATACAAATTTTAATATTTTGGATTTTTGTTATCGAGTCTTTTTTTACACATTAAATTTTTTACACATTAAATCATGAAAAAAGGTATTGATTTATTAAAAATGATTATATTTTATTTTGTACTTCTTTTCTATCTTTATTGTCATCATAGTATTTTTAATACATTGTTGATAATTATATAATCATTAAGAATTAATAATATAGAGTTTTATCATTGAATAATTATGTATGTGATATTATGAGTTATATATTTCAATTTTTTTTACAGCCTGACAGTCCGTATCAAGGAGGGGTATTTTTCCTAACAATACACTTTCCGACAGATTATCCATTCAAACCACCTAAGGTACACCATTATTTGTGACATTTTAAAAAATTTTTAATACAGGAATAAAAATAAATACGTTATACATAATTGCTCATCATTAATTTGCAGGTGGCATTCACGACTAGAATTTATCATCCTAATATCAACAGTAATGGAAGTATTTGTTTGGATATTCTACGATCGCAATGGTCTCCCGCATTAACTATATCAAAAGGTATGTACTTCATATGATATATGTTTGGAAAATATATTTTGTATTAGCAGAATTTGAACATTATCGACCATCTTTCAGTGTTATTGTCAATATGCTCCCTGCTGTGCGATCCAAATCCAGATGACCCATTGGTACCAGAGATAGCCAGGATATACAAAACTGACAGGGAGAAGTATAATGAATTGGCACGTGAATGGACGCGCAAGTATGCCATGTGATGCGCCAATCTCCATTGACTTCAACATCCAAATACCACCAAGAAACAGCCCCAGCCTATTGCCACTTACGCATCAGCACCGATTGAAATTAGCTATGGCTCGTATACTTTTAAACATTAAGCCAGTATTCGGGCCCGAGGAATCCTCAGGCAAACGTGATCGATCTGAACTTCTCGCGGTTCAGGAAGTCCGCGGATAGTTAAAACGTTGCCGCAATGGCAATCGAGGCAATTTTGAAGGTGGTCACTCAGCATTATATATACCGAATCTGACAACACATGTCCGCTTTGTTTTTCATAAATAAAAAAAATGGAAGTAACATATAGGAGAGTGAAAGTAGGATTTGTATTTGAATCTAATAGATTGGTTTCTAATTATTGTGCTTATAATTGTAACATGATACCTACTTTCTCAGTGAAACAGAAAACTTTGAACTGACAGCACATCGATTGTTAGTCTTAACGCAAGTGAGCAATGTTTGCCCGTCCCTTGGAACGATGTGGTCACTCTTTTGTAAGACTGGGCTATATATATATATAAATATTACTGAAACTACGTGTATGCTTTATTCAATTATTAAAATTCCTTATACCTGACAAATTCTACGAGTAACTCTAAATCTGTGCTTTTGGTTCCTGTGTGTGTGTGTAGTAATTTAATTATGCATATCGTTAATCGGCAAGTGGCAACCGTGCAACTTTAAGTAATCGGAAGTAATTGAAACAGATTGATATTTGGAGCATTGCTTGCAGTTTCGTGGGTCTGAAGAAAGTTTGATATGTAATTTACCGGAAGCACGTAGATTGCTCGCGTTTCATCCTTTTCAGCTTTACGCTGATACAACAAACTATCGTTGAAATCACTTTATTGATAAGGGATGTAAAAGGGAGAGTATATATATATATATATATATATATATATACATGTAATCAAATTCCGATTATTTAAATTTATATACGGACCGCGTTATAAATTAGGCGATAAATATGTCGACGATGCGAGAAGATTGCCGTAGGATTGCTAAAATCTCGGCGATCCGTCTTGCATTATATAGTGCATGAATGCACGCTATTAAGTTTGTGCGTCGCGATTTTTGCGAATCAGGAATTCGCATTACTCGTCGTTTATCGCGACGTTATTTTACTCGCATCAATACTTTTACTTCTGTTTTGCGTGCAGATGTTTCTTTAAATGGCGATTTTTTTATTATTATTTAGTTTCGTGACCAGATGTTTTTCCTTTCATCCACAATATAAATGCGTACATACACGCGACCATACTGTCCATGCTGGACGAACGCTAGACTTAAATCTGTTATTTAAATTTTGCGATTTCAATATTGTATCTCCGATATATTGTGGTTGTAAGGGTAAAGCGATGTGATTACATATTATTTCTTAAAAACCTAGTTATATACAAAATGAACAAATTATGTCGTTAAATTACGAAATGTCATTCAGCGCGATAGTTCATTTAAGATTATATGAAACTACGTAATTGCACTGTTCAATGGTGCTAGCAGTGTGTTTTTTGGCTTCTAATCATAGATAAATAAAATCTGATATGTCATTTAAAAGAAAAGATACGATTACTTAATTAGTGCGTAAGTAAAACGATTCTGTCTTGCGAACCATGTAAAGCGCGCGTTAGTGCGAAACGTCTCGATATGATCGGTGTTTAAAGGCAAGCTGATGGAGGCGACTAAAGGAACCTAGAGAAGACAAATCGATTAGTATGTAATGCGGCGGCCCGCTGTTTACGCCGACCTTGTCTCATACGACCGTGTATCTGCTGTAATTTAATTACGAGTAAACGCGTCGAATCTGGTATTTAAAAGTTATAGCCCTCTAAGAAAAAAAAATTGATCATCGTTCACCTCTAGTAGAAGACGACTATTCATGTGTATAATTAATTATTACTACCGCAATAATGAACATTTTTAATAACTTATCTTGTGTACATTTTAGCATTAGCCCTTTATATAATAAAGTCCACACGATGATAAGATAAAGCAGCGAATCTTTCCTTTCTTTTCCTCGCGATCGGTCACAAATCCAAACGTGCAGATGATAAGTATCATGCTACACGGGTCACGTCTCACATTATGTAGTTATCATGTTTTCTACTGTATAAGCCGTGTAACAGAAGATTCGTGCCACAGCTGCAAAAATGTTATCGTATCAACGTCGATCTCTCATTCGAAAGTGGTCTTAGCCCACGCGTCTTTCCCAATTCTTCAATGTCAGCGAAATGACCTATGTGAAAGTAACGCACGAAATCGATTTGCGCTCTTGAAAATTTTATTATATGAACTTTCGAAGAAGAAATTTGTCGCGCATATATAATGAAAACTTGTAATGAAATTAAAATTGTAATTGTAAATCGAGATTGATTTAAACAAGAATGTAAAACTTATGGAACTTAATGTTTTACAGTGATTGCACACGAATAATAATCTAAATTAAAAGAATATTTTATTCGAGAATAATCGAACATGCACAAGTACATGTAAAATATAAATGTAGAATTCATAGATCAATTTATAATTCAAAATTATAAATTACAATTATGCACAAAATTATAAATTATCTTTAGCGATTTGATATATGTAATAAAAATACTGTTTTAAAAATACTGTTGCAGGAATTGTAAATATTGTATATATCTTGTATTATTCGAGGGCATTTTGTGAGACGTGTCGCGACTTCGAAGGCCGCCCGGCAATCGTCCGATCCCAAATCCGCGGGAGAATCGCGCGTTCGCTATCCGAGCAGTGAAAGTACCCGCATGTCCCCCCTTTATGTTTCAAGTACGGGGAGACGTACGGGTGATCTCCAAGCATGTGCTTCTCACGCGGGACGCACATCGGGAGCGACCCTGGCTCCCCGTCGTCGTCGTCGTCACCGTCGCCGCCGTCTCGCAATTCGACGCTCACTGTCAGTGTTCTGTACGGCGCGCTCGGTGCGGTCGATCGAATCGCGTTGCAACCTGATATTCGCGACGGAAGATTCGCACACGTGAAGAGTGCGCCGATGCGTCGATAAGCGCTCGATCGCGAGAGACGTCGATGACTCTCCGTTTTCTCGACTGTCCGCAAAACTGTCGATCGCCGCTTCAAGAGGTACGTGATTATTCGACGTAGAAAATAGAGTTTAATCATCTTCATAAAAATAAGTACGCTAATTATTGTTGTACAGTACGATCTACTGAAGCACTGTATCACTTTTTGATTTATAACAAGAGTTATTATTATACTTGATTATAAATATTTTTACCCGAAGACATATAAGTCGTATGTTTTATGCAATTTTATCTTTTATATCAGTGATGATATAATCTTTTGTTAATTATTTGTCTTGTGTTACAAAGGTAACAGAATGATTAAATCCTAGTCCTACTTTACATTGAGAGAAGCTATATTTTTAGTTTCACATAAAAGAATAAAATTTGAAATTTTAAATTGGTTGATGGGCCATTAAATAAAATACTGTTAAACAAATCTCACGCCAAAGTTAAAATCGGGCATAGATTTCACTCGATGGAGTTCAATGTCAATTTATTCTTGACATAGTTATGTGAAAATAACTATGATAGCAGGACTTTGCCCTGAAAATCGTAGGAAGAGATGCTAATCGAATGCCGAGGAATCGTTTAATAACTGACGCATTTACGGATTATTAGCTTGAGCTACTGAATAATGATATGTATTGTGCTCATACTCGTATTTATATTTCTTCAATTCATTATCATTTAATGAATTTGGAATTTGACATGTATAATAATAATAAGAATAATAATATCTGATTAATTAAATATAGAATGTTACAAATTAATCTTTTGACTGTCAAATTCGAAAAATTTAAATATATGCAAATATTTAAATACATATTTCTTTATATTGAATGATACACTTGCTATTGAATTTTTTTTTAATTTGATAAATGATTATTATACTGATAAGTTCATCAACATAGATGATAATATTACATGACTTTGTTTTCTTCGTTTTGATCGAACGACGATATGCTACCATTGTATTCTATGAACAATCGGTATAACTTTGCATATCAATGGAAAGATAAATATTAGAACAGAATTTTTCAAAGACAATCGCTTCTCACATTGACAGCGCAATAGATATAAAAGCTTTATTCTTTCGTAAAATAGATACAATATCAAAATTATGTGTAATTTTATATGTGCATCATATATACTTGTATGTATGTGACTGTATGTGTGTACATTATATACTTGTTTACTCATGATGTTGAAAATATATCTGCATTATTTTCAATCAGGGATTAAAACAAATTTATTTAGTCTTTTACAGATAAATTAAAGAATAAAAAATTGGCTTGTCTACCTATATATTCCTCGCGATTATATATTTATATTAAATTATTATTTTCACATATCAACTTAATATTTTTATTAGATCAATATTCATTTATTTTATTATTATATATGCATAATATCGATCAAATCAATATTGAAAATTATAATGTGAAAAAGATTGAAATTTTGGAATTATATGAATTACGTTACACGAACCTGCCTCTATTCTCAGTTACTTCCCGTTCGTACAATGTAATGGTGAAAATATAGCCTGCACAATCATACTTTTCACCGGGTGTAGACGTACGATCTCAACGGATTCCAAAGTGCGCCTTCGACTTTCTCGTAGATTAGACGCATGATGTAGAGAGAGTGAACAGGATTCTCCTCTCCTCTCACTTAGAGTCAGATAAAAAGACAACTAGGACATCACCAATCTCGAGATACGCTTTTTCGCCGCCCTACCAATACTATCCACGCGCACGTTGTGTGCACGTTAACCGTTGAAATATAATAGCGTTACTTATTTCTCTATTAACGACTAGAAATTCGTGCAGAATATTCGGCCCGAATATTCTTTTCGGTCAATCTCGAGATTTCTAATCGGTCGATTTCGCGCGCGGCGCTCGAAAGTTAAGTACTCCTCGGTTTTCCCCTTGCGCGGTCTTCGTGCTTCGTAGTTTTTGTCTCGTATTACCACCGTAATAGCAATATACTAACTCTTTGCACGACTGCAAATAAAATTCACTTCCAATTAGACCGCGTCACGTAAGAAGGCATTCCGCTGCTTACGACTGCTTGCTTTCCGTACGTAAGGAGCAATCTCCTTTTGCGAGAAAGTCACATGTGTCGACGTCAACTTGCAAATCAAACTTGCATTTACACTCGAAGGATCCATAAAAAGAATAATAAAAGCTAGGAACGAACTTTTTTTGCGAGCGTGGAAAAGTTGAGATATTTCAAAAGTGTTTTTCCAGTAATAGGGATAATTTGAAGTATGTCGTGTTTGCGAGTATACATGTCACATATCACGTATAAAAAAATTGTAACAATGTTTGGATTTAGAAAGTTGCTAAACGCATTACGTCGAACGCTATCTTAAAATTCCTTGGAAATTAATATGCAAGTATTTTCTTTCTACGTATATATCTTACTTCCGCATATTTCTTCGCGATATGTCGAGACTTTGTATGTAATTAATCCCGAGTTTAATTATTCGACTTCTAACGATTTCTTACGAGTCTTTGAAGTCTTTAAAACACACATCGAGCGTCAAATGAAAATTATACGCTAAGGCAAGTTTCGATTGACAGTAAAGTTTCCGCGGATGTTACAATGAATGGTTGTCTCCAATCCCTCTATCGTTATATCTTTCAGGAAGCAGGTGTTGCACAAAAGGTCCACGCCGTTTGAATGATGAAACTACTTGCAGGCGTAGAAGAGGTTACCGACCACTGTGAAAAAGAGCCCAATAATGGTCAACTGCAGAACAATAATAGTCATGAAAAGCAATTTGCAACAGAATTGGCGCAAGACGCGAGCAAGCCGCTCGTCAACAAGGTCAGTCAACGTCCGTACGCGATACTTTCATCGCGTCAAACGAGATCCTCTAAATTCAAATCGAGCCAAAGAATTAAGAATCGAGAATAAATCTTAAGTGATTTTAAGAGATCATTTTATCTAACTTTAAGAGATTTTAAAAAAGGAAATCAGAAATGAGATTAGAGTACAAATACTATGCGATCAGCGGATAATCATCTGCATTGCTGCAGATAAAACGACAATAACGACAATAACAGATTTTCGTGAAAATCCTTCGGACAAAATCGACAGTTCAGTTCTAAAAGCGGCAGCTTTACGCAAAAGACATCGCAGGATTGATATGCTCCATTTCTTGTTAAAGCCATCCACTTCCGTTTTTCGAGATGTAGACACGCGACCACGACTTTCTGGGTTACGCGATAAACTCGGTAATTTCTTCTTTTCCTACATTATGAGCACGATTAACAGGTTTTTTTTTTTCATCCTGTTAGTTTTTTCATCCATTTCAAACGAAGTTCACATATTTTGCGAAAGTTACATTATCCGTCATTTGCGCGATTTATCGCAACACTGCAATAATATTAGCGGTCTAACCGAACATAATAAGTGAAGCAATTGTTTGTTAATTGTTCAGCACGTGTTCATTATAAAGCGAAAGTATACATTGTCTCTTGAAATTGCATTCCAACGAAATTCAATATCATTCGTTAATTATTCTATATTATACTCGATGGTATTCGCTTTAATCGCGATCGATGTTGCTTCGTATTAGCAGCAGTTGAGAGAATCGATTTCACTAGCTACAAACTTATGCGACACGAGAGGAAAACGGATAGCGTAAACTTGACACACTCGGATGAAAGGCAGGTCCCGTTGTGGCCTACTTACCGCATTCACATATCTGCAAGAGATGTAGTATAACCGAGACATTTCTTGTCTGTATCCTCAAGCAACTTTTCCGTCGTTAGGAACACATTAGGAATGTATCCTACATGCGAATTCACTTCTTAATCTTCCTTCAATTTTGCCCGAATGACTTTTTTCTCCCTGTAGGGGGGGATATCAAACTAATAATAATAATGTAATTGTAATGGTACATAATAATATATATATATATATATATATATATATATATATATATATATATATATATTAATAAGTAGAATTTTTGAATATTTTATAATTCGCTTTACGCGTGACCAATTAATTTTTTTCTTAATAAAATTAGGATTGTTATATTGTTATTTAATTAATACATAAAGATATATTTAAAAAGGAAAAAAATAATTTTAAGTTATGAGAATTGTAGGCTTGTTTAACGTGGACGATATTTTCTCTTTCTAATAATTACGTCAGGTTAAAAAGGGAATTCATCGTATCGTAAAGTCACATCATTCTATTGTTGGTACTGCGAGTTTACATCGCCGCGGAATGTCACGAATGAAAGCGAGGAAAGCACTTCGTATTGTTTAGAATACTTTGAGTGCAATAAAATGTCATTGCGCGAACTTCTTATGTAAGTGACTTTTATGCTCAGTAGTTGAAATTTATATTTGATTACATGTTACACGAAAAATTATCATCTTTATTTTGTTCATATTATGTAAAGCAGAGCACAATATTTATATGAATATTATTTAAAAAAATGTATGTATGTGAATATATTAAAAAAAAGTGGAATAATTATTGAATAAGTATGTATCAAAGAGATAGATGGAATAATTGGTGATTTAAACAAATATGTTAAAATGTATTATGACTTATTTAATTTTCAATATTTTTTTCAATTTATTCGGCACTTCATCGTAAATAGCCTCTTCTCCACTTTAATGTAAAAATGTAGAGAAAAACTTTTTGATAGCTATTGAATATCGTATTCCTAGATAACATAAATGTTTAAAAAATATTAAGTGAATGTCTGAAATTTTGGATATTTTTTTTTAATTTTTGTGATCGATAATTTTGAAAAAGCTATATTTTGATATTCCATTTTTCTTAAAATAGGCATGCGATTCGACAGCCAAAAGAAAAGTTACATCAGAGGAGGAAGAAAAGTTGAGATGTTTGCTTCGGTTCGAGGATGCTCCTGAATTTCTTCAACATAATCCCTACATATTGCGTGGCTACCGAGGCTGTTTGACCACCAAATTATGTCTCGAAAGGTTGAGTTTCTTAACACATTTATGACGAATAAATTCCAAATCTTGAAAATAATGATGAATAACGTATATTAACAGCTTGCAGTTTTTTTCACGAAAATGTTATTTATTTTAGCATATTTTGGTGGACAAACGAGACCGTGAATATATGGAGTCACATTTTTGGCTGGATGCTCTTCTTCGGTCTGACTCTATATGATCTCTGTTTATTGAATATTCATGCACCATTTAGTGATAAATTGATTGTGTCCTTGTTGCTTCTTTGTTTTCAGGTAAAAATTATTAGTATGCGTAGGTAATTTGCTAAAACATGAAATAAATAAATAAAATTGTTTTTAGGTATGCATGATTTTATCATCCGTATATCACACATTCTCGTGTCGAAGCGAAAAGGATTACTGGTGCTTCCTATCCTTCGACTTGTTCGGTATTGCCCTGAGTATGCTATCGATATATATGTCAGGGGTCTACTATGCCTTTTGGTGTCATAAGGTAAAGAAAACATCGATTTCTCTAGTTATAATTTTAGCAATCCTACGTTCGTTACAACTTATACGAGGAAAGTTTATATATTTGTGTCTGCGTACACACGATAAATGCGTGAATTGCATTTTAAAAGCTTCTAAAGAAGTAATAATTAATGTGTTTTCTTAGCTAATAAAAAATAAATAATGTGTTTTCTCAGCAGTATATCAATTCGTGCGAATACGAACGATAAATCAAATCGGATCCGTGGGAATCTTTTGCAGGAGTTGCAGCGATTTTACCTCGCCACCGTGCTCGCGATCTTCATTTTCGCGATGATATTGCAAATACCGAGGCTAAACATCAATGGTAACATTAAGCTAGCCGTATTTGTGTCCTGGGCGATATATGGCGTACTGCCAACGCTGCATTGGACCATTGCGATGGGCGGCTTTGAGAACCCGATCGTTAGAATGCTTATTCCGAGGGTGATAGGAATGTACATTATTAATGCGATAGCATTCGCGTTCTATATGCTCAAGATACCCGAACGTTTTTGTCCAGGTAATTGTTGACAATTATCACCCTCGTTATCGTTAATGTTTCTTGTCATGCACTTTATCGAACGATGATATATAATTGTCACATATTAAATAAATAATAACACGATGGTGTTTCCCGTCACAGGCTGGGTAGACTATGTCGGCTCGTCGCATCAATGGTGGCACGCGTTAGTTGTGCTAGCCCTCTATTATTGGCACAACACTGGAATGCTTTACGTGGAATATAGAATGAATCACGGATGTCCGAGTAGTATGGCATTATGACATACGGATTCCGGCGACCAACCAGGTAAACACGAGATAATGGTCGTAATTCAACGCTTATTGTGACCGATGGCCACATTAATACTATATAAATCGCATCATTGTTCTCGCAATGTCAAGTATAGTCCGCATTGGCATTTATGAATATTTCAAGCATCTAAAATGCTAAAACGCGCGACAAATATATTAATTCGAAAATTTAAATATTCATCATAAATATTTAATTATTAATTTATTTTTTGACAAAAATCAAAGATTGTATTTGCATGTGTATATGCATATCGTAGAAAGTTGCTAAAACTATCGAATTGCTGAGAAGCTGATATTTAAATTTGCAAATATTCTGTTGCAGAGTCTATCCTTGTGATGGATTGCTCTTGTATGATGAAAGCAAATTGGTCGCCACAGATAACAGAACCACCGTTTTACAGTATCTTGAAGAATATGTCTTGCGAGATACAAAATCCATTGCGTGTGTACGCTCATCGATAGTCGTGACACGTACATATTTAGGAAATATATATGTTACAATGTTCTGGATGAAAAGAGACTTGCTACAGGATGGCCTCAAATACATTGTACAATCGAGAAGAAAGTGGTTCTATGGTGTAAAATAGGTCAAAATGATAGAATTAATTTTTTTCGTATGCTTGATTAACTGTGAGTCTTTTCTTTTTTTAAATGAGACTTTATTATAGAAAAAAAATTATCTTATCATTTTGCACCATAAAATCATTATCATTCTAGTTGTACGACATTTAGATCCACCTTATATAATATAATTCGCAACATTCGCAAACATTTTCAAACATTATTATATTTGTGTTTATCATTATTATTTATATTTGTCTTTTGACAACTAATAACTGCATTCTTTTTTAATTCTAGCAGGTGCATAAATAAATTTAATTAATAAATTTCTTTAGTTAGAAATGTATTCTTTCAATTTAATCTCAAATTGAAAATTCTTTCAGATTTATGAATAAATTTTAATCTGTCATTTGTCCATAAAATAATTTTTAACTATAATGTTTATAACAACGATGATAAATGATAAATATTTTACAAGAATATTTTTGTTTCCTGCTGGGATTAAATTATTCACTTTTAGAAAATATCTTATATCTTTGTTAGAATCATTTGGTTTTTGTTACATTCTACAAGGAGACTGGGATTTTTAAATTATAGACTACTGTGTTCCGCATTTTGCGTGATATATTTCAATAAATAATGTTAGAAATATTCCAGTAATCTGCCACAGATATCTGCTACATAACATATATGTAAATATACATGTTTTTACATCTATGTTATGTGACATTTATATTTGATATTCGCTGGGATTAGAATAGTTTATTTCTAGCAAATGAAAAATGACTTTCTTCTTATTGTTTTCAATGGATATCGATATCGATGGCGATGTATTAAGCGAGATATCAATGATTGATCAAAACAAGCTGCAATACTCTCAGTTGCTTTTGCAACGCGCTCAATGTCATAAAGTAACTTTGCACTCTCATTATACTCCCGACCCAAACTATCTTTCTCTTTCTTATAAGCGCGTTTTGCAATTCATGTAAAGAAATGAGGCCTACATACTAAATGATATCGAACACAATACGTATATTCTATTTAATTGATTCCAATATGAATGCCGCATTTTGGAGCGGACTTTTTACACATTGCATATAAGCAGATACATGATAATAATTATAATGTTAAAACAATGTTATTTCTTAGATTGTTGATTAAAAAATAAATATTTTATTTATAAATAAAGGAAAATTTTTCTTTCTTTCGTTTAATTAAACGTATATATAAACATATATATAATCTTTACTTTATAAATTTCTATATAATTTTTTTTATTATTTTATTAAAAACTTTTTATAATTATTAAATTAATGTCAATATAAAAAAAGAAAAAGAGGAAAAGAAATATGATATTCACTATATAGTAATTTATAGCATTTTTTCTTTTTATATCTTCTTAAGTTTTTTATTATTTTATTCTTATTTTTTATTATTTTATTAATTTTTTTAATTTATCCATAAAATATTATTATCCGTCGAGCAGATTCGTTGGATATTTACTCTTACAACTTCCTTTCTTTGAATGAGTATTCTACTCACTCGATATGCGAATGAACATGTTGTTTGTTCCTCTGCAAGATGGCGCCATCACCTTCCTCGTAAAATTTAAACGATAATTCCTGCGAGATGTAAATCTCACGCGTACTTTTCGTCGCAAAATTATCTTGATCTTTTGCTTGTTGAAAATACTACAGAAATCAAGATTCTCGAATGCACGAATCAGAAAACTATATTGTTATCACTAATTTGCGTACATTCTTAATGCGGCATTACGCTTTATCAGAGAGAGCATTAAAAAGCCTTTATCCACCATTATTGTCTTTCAAAATTTTTTGCTTAATCACTCGGCTGAATTGCGGTTTCTATTTTTATGACTTCTTTTAATATCACAGTATGTTAAATATGTCTTGCTATACCACTGTATCCCAATTACACGTTTGAAATCATGTACATTGTTTATTAAAGTATATGGAATCATGATTGAACATCGGCATATCTTCGTTGAAGTCATCTCTAAAGTTATGAGTAATGATATTATTATGTCTTATTTATTCGTGAATAAGTATGACAATTATCATACTTGGTATCTATTTTTATATTAATATATTATTATATTTATATAATCCTTTTTATCTTCTTGATACAAGTAAGCTGAACTTAATTTCGGAATAAGCAAAATAATTAACTTAAAGTTTTCTTATATCGCAATATTTTGATCAATATTTTTATTATATTTCTAATAAGCAGTTTGAAAATAATTTTAAGAATGTTGTATTTAAAAAATTTTTTTAAATTTTAAACTCTCGCGATAATAATGTAAAATGATAATAATGTCTTTTTTTAATTCTATCACATATCATAGAAATATTATATCATAGAAATATTTAATTTTAAACGAAAACATTTTATTTTACAATATTAATTTATGAATTTATATTCTATAGCCTATATATTATAAAAGAATATAAAAAAATAAGCAGAAAAACCTGATAATGAAAATATAATAATTTTTGAAAGTATGGCAATAAATAAATTAGAATAAGTTTTTAAAAATTATAGATATTATTAATATGTAGAATTCTTCAAATCGATAATATTTATTATAATGAAATAATATAAAATAAAATAGTAATCGTTATACTTCATCGATAATTAAAGGTAATTTCTTATTTATTACGGTAAAGCAGCGATCTCGCGGAAACTGCGGAGTATCCTTCTGTCTTACCGAGACCCTTGTAATCCCTTTCGCAAGCCTTTTGCGTCTACGGGCAAAGCGACTTTCACTCTTTCTTCGTCGACGATGCGTCTAACCGAGCGGCAGCGATTCTTTATCCATGCAAGAAAGAAGGCGCACGCGGTAGAATTTACGTAGCACTTAATCCTACCGCTTAGAAGACCTCGGCAAAATCACCCCTACTTCACATCCTCAGAGTCCTTCGCTTCTTTACGCCTCCTCCTTCGCCACTCATCATCCTTGCTTCGCATTCGAGCATCTCCACTCGCACTTTTCATTAGCCGCCGAGAGCAGCGATATTTCCATAAGATATACCTTATCGGCATACATAATTTTTCTCTTTGTATTTCTTGCGTGCATTTCTTTCCATGTTGTTGAAAATTAAGGGAAATGGAGAAAATCCCTTTCTATATGCAAATTAAAAAAAAAAAAAACAAAACTTTTCATAGATAATCAGAATTATGTGTGAGTAAAAATAATCTAAATATTAGAATCATTAATCTCTAATATATTTTACTCTTGCGTATCTTTTTCTTCTTTTTTCGTAAAATTTTATTTTGTTTATTAAACAACCTTTATTTGTTTATTAAAATATCATTTTTCTTAATTAATAATATCACAAAGATTTGTCTCTTTTCTACATGAAGAATACACATCGACGAAGAGAGTCGCGAATTAAAATATTAATCATGACACACATGATTGATAAATCACAAAGTACATGTTTTATACATGTCAAATTAAACGATCATTACGAAATAGATGATTCGTTATTATCATCTTTGACAGAAACATTTTATTTACATTTGAATTATATAGATAGAAAAGCGTCCTACCGAACACGACTGGTGCGCGCTTCGGGCATACCGCGAGAAAGTTCCGCGAAAAGATTCCGCGAATCAGCTGCGAAGCCAATCCTTTAATCGTCAGTACTAAAATATTATAAGGCGCGTAATCGCTCGCGATCGCGCCGAAATCCGTCAGCTAATCTCTCCACCGTAAAAGCGGTTTTATGTACCTATCTGCCGGAAGCTCGGCTCGACCGTTACGCTGAGTGCTTCGCTCTCGCTGCTTTCCGAGATTTTAATGGCAGTCACACGGCAGATCCGATGGCAGAGCGGGCGAGCGAGCCGGTCGGTACGAGTGTACACATTATTCCGTCGTCAGAGACAACAGAAACGTTAATCTCGGTCGCCAATTATCGGTTTTAGGCGGCACTCTTCGTTGTCTTTCGCTCGGCTGCCGGCGTCGCTCGCGCTAAAAACCGCCCAGGCTCGCTTGCTCGCTCGTTTGCTCGAAAGAATGATTAAACGCGGTTCGATTCATCGATTATCGGCTTTACGCCCGAAGGGAAATCGCTTCGCCTAGTACGCTCCTATATACTGTCCCCGATTTATATCACGGACTTCAACGAGGTGTCCCAAATCCACCGATCTCAATTTCTGATTCCTTGACCAAGTTGGAGTTTTAATGAAGATTTAATGTTGAATATTAAGAAATTGCACCAATGCATTTGGAATAAGAGTAGCGTACGTCGTTCGCTCGTAAAATCCATCATTCTGACTTTCTAATATTTAAAAATGGATACAAATAACAGACTTATTTATAGTCTTTTTTATTTTAGACTTATAATCTTTATTCCATATTCTTCAAATAAAGACTTCAAAATTTATTAAGTAATCTCGCCATTAAAATTAAAGTTGTGTTTATGTGATAGCTTTGCATTTTGAAAATGTATATTCGTAACGTGAAATTGTTACGTCATATATTATATTAATGTTTGTTTGTATTGTTACGTCCGCAGCGGTCACTGACGCTCTCACTTAACGCGCGTTCCGCGAGGAAGCCGCGCTCGGCAATAAACAACGCCGTTTAATAAAAAAAACGTAGGCTTTATTCAAATCAGAACAACCACAATAATTCGGCGGACACACGTACGAGTCACCACGCCGAATTTCTTCGCAAACAACGCCACCGTTGCCCCGAAGAGCGCTTCGCTTTTTACTCCAAATGGCGGCTCGACTCCGCAGAAGACTTGCGCATAATAGTATATTTCTTAATCCACCATGATATGAAGTTATCGATATAAAAATACTTTTTAATATAAATATTTGCGATTTATTTAATGGTATAATATTGCGATTTGAAATCGACGACCGACCTGCGATTCGTTGAATACAGTGGCATTAAATTGACGACGACCGGTGGCTCGTGATTACAGGACAAATCAGTGGATTATCTGGAAGCTCAGTTTCGCGAGTATGGGAACCGGGAATAGGATAGAACCGGGGCAGTTTCCATTTCGGTTCAGGGAATAACAATTCAGAGCGGAGAAACAGTTGGAGAGTGACGCGTCCTCCATCTGTTCTGTTAAAGGATAGGATATCGTGGGTGGAGACAGGTCAAGAATGAGAAGGAAGAAAAGAGGGGCGAAAATAAAGGTGACGGTAATGTGTAAACGGGAGAGAAAAATAGAAATGTGACGCGCGAGTGAGAAGGAGAGAAACGGAAAACAATGACAGGCGAGTAAGAAGAGATCG